ATTAGTTCATTATTGAATAGTTGGCCAATATTATCAAAGTTTGGGGATTCACCAACAAGCAAATTGTCCAAGACCCAAAGCTTTGGTGTTTCTTGTTTTTAATTTTTTTAAAGATTTATTTTTGGGCTTTTATTGGAGAAACAGGACAGTGGATAGACTCAGAAATGAGGGACAGAGAGAGTGAGGAATGACCACAGGTTGAATTTGAACCTGGACCACATGCTTCGAGGACTACAGCCTCTGTACATGGGGCGTGCTTCCTAACCACTCGGCCAACAGTGTCCGTGTGTTTCCTATTGTTTATGACAAAGTAAATGCAGCAGATTCTCAGATTTTAGAACAGGAAGAAGCTCAAGTTTGACTTGTTTTGCTCGAAAAATTACCAATCAAATTTTTAAAAAGTTGGAATTTAATCTTCTTTTTGGACAAATCAGCTCAGCTAAACAGACATCTTCAGTGGCCAATCATTTTGGAGCCACAAGTTTTTGCATATTGGTTGTCAACATCAGACAAACCAGTTGAGCGCTGGAGAGAAGTAAGGTGTTGGCAAACGTTACATTCTTAGCTAATACTGGTGCTAGCTTTGTGAGCAAGGTGCAGGGGTTAGTCACAACAACTGTGAGATTATCTGGGAAACTTATTTTGGTTAGTAAAACAAAGGCTTCTAACAAAATGGACCTATGATAACAATGATCAAACAGTTGTGTGTCTTTTTTGGCAACTGAACGCTAAAAGAGATTTCTGGTTGCTGTGGTAGAGATTTGTCAGTAACTATACTGTACTTAAGCATGGATTGCCTAAAAAGGATGCAATGACAGCCGTAACCTCCGACCCTGTGGTAACGTCCACTATGTAATAGAATCTACACACCCATCTTTCTGCACGAGTTGATTTCTGAAATGTCAAATTCAGATTCATTTAGTAAAAAACTAACACCTTAGCTCGATCCCACAGTTACACACAGCTGCACAGTCATAGCATTGCGACTCTGTAAAGAACATCTTGTGTCCAAACTCAAGGCAGCGTTGATTTATTTTGATAATCAGACGTGGTTACTGCTCTCTTTCCTTTGTCCACTCATGACAACACATTTTGAGCATTTCCTCTAGTTGGACACAATCCTTCTAACCACGAGCTGCCTGCTGTGTGTGTCCACAGACAGCATGATGGGGAGGTATAAATGAATCTTTGCAGGCTCCACTCTGCTGATGGTGAAGCAGAGAGGAAAGGCGAGTAGCTGTAAAAACTAATTGTCTGACTGCTCTAGGAGGCAGGGTCTGTCCCTCTCCTTTATCAGCGAGTGTCCTCATTAGTAGGTACTGATGAGCTCGGCAAGGTCGAGTCAGGGAAGTTGCATATGCTGATTAGACTCTCAGTCAGAAGGCTTCTTTGTCCACTACACTTAATTTCACTGGTTACATGTGCTTAAGATATCTTAAAGAGATCTGCTGCACTGTCATTTAAGAACAATGGGAGCCCCTTGTCATTTAAAACTGTTTGTTTTTCTCCCAGCTCATCACTGGGAGAAAAACAAACTCAACTTTCACATTGGTGTTAATGTATTAGAAATGTTTTTGCAGTCTTGAGATGCCTTTTCGATTAGCAAGATATTTTAAAGGGACTTCATGTTGAATCCATGGTTTAGACCTTTGTGCTCTGAAGTAAAAGATGTATTGATTGACGTGTTTCCAGTATTCTTAAATGTTTCAGTTTTTAGATGCTAGCATGACAAGTCAATGTGACAAGTCAAAGTGCTGTAAAGGACAAGATGTGAAGTGTGTGACAGCTTGAAAGACTGACCTAAATAAACCCCCAGGCTACAGACAGGGACATCAGACGTCTCAGAGTTGCCCTAATGCAATATTTCTCTGAAAAGGTTTGGAGGCATTTGATTCCCTTAGAGCTCTGAATCTGTGTAAAGATATCAGTGGATGTATGAATGAACTTCAACACTAGTGACAGAATTAGAACGTCATTTAACCCACTCGGTCAGAAGGGGAAAAAATTACAATGGACTTCAAAATGGAGCTACAAACAACCAAAACATAAACACTACTCCTCAGATGCTTTAATTACCCTGAGTGTGACTCTAAATTCAAACAAATCTGACTGTAAGTTGTAGTTGAGAAGCCGTTCAACATCTTACAGTCATGTACAATTCATATTTTATTTGAGGGAATATGTATGAAAACAATTTCTAAGTGCATGCAGAGCTCTTGTTTTACCAAGCAAGCATTGACTGCTGTATCCATCAATGATGTATGAGATGCTAGAAAACATACACACACACACACACACACACACACACACACACACACACACACACACACACACACACACACCCACATACTGTACTGTAGATGTTAGAGTGAATGAGGTCACATGGTTTAACTAATCCAAACAATGGCTCCTCAGAACATTTAGCATTTGGTTAGCATGTCTTTATGTCTAATGTAGCATTGTAAAAAAAACATATAGAAGTAGGTTATCCAGGGATCTATCATTGCTGCATAACTGGATCTCTGCAGCCTTATCCTGATTGGCTGACAGCCAACAGCCGCTGCCAGGAGTTTGATGTGGCCAAACAGAAACTGCAGCACAGCACCAGAAAAAAGAAAAAGAAAAAGAAAAATCAGGTGAGCTGCAGTGAACTCAAATAGATTCTAGCTATTATTATTGAGGGAATTGGAGGAGGATGGATGAGCCAATTTGATGACAAAAATTGATCGTAAACAATTGGATGAACTTGCTTGACACTCTGTAAAAAATATGATACTACTTTAGACTGAAGGAATAAAAACTTCCTGGAGGTAGGAACTCTACCTGAATGGAACCAGAAGGATCTCGAGGCGTAGTTGCTCTTGTAGAACAAATCTGTTTGTTTCCCTTTTGATTTCAGCAGAACTACAATCCAGCATGATCAGGTCGAGCCATTTACACATTTCATTCTGACAACTCACATTCCCATACTTTAAAATATTTATTGCACCAGAACATAGTTTGTGTTTGGCATCTAGACTCCACCCTAATCACTCCTTGCAGTTTAAATTCAAAAGCAGAAATTTGAGGAGTGATGGGATGATGAATCGGAGCCTACAGGTCGATTCTGGGGTTGGTGGTGTTGCTGAAGAAGAGTGCAGTACTGCTGTAGGTCATAACTGGCAATGAAAGAGCTGAGAGAGAGAGAGCGGGAAATCTTGCAGCTTAAATTTATTTGGAAGGAGGTTTTGTGAGGTGTCACTTTTACCTGCAGTGTGAGTGCAGCCTAAATTGCCCCATGATGTAAATTGTTGTTCGTCCTGCATTTGACTGTCAACCTGTCCAGGATGTACCTCACCTCTCGCCCAATGACAGGGGGATAGGCTCCTGAACCTCGTGACCCAGGGCAGGATAAGCCTTCTACAAAATGGATTGATGGACCACTTGTGCAGAGGCCGTCCATGCCATCAGTCCACCTTATCGTTATCATTAATGTTGGTTTCATTAGGAGTCCTGCATTTCTCCAGTATTGAATTTCACCAGGCTCGCTCCATTAGCTTTTTTTTTCCAAGTCCTTCAATAGATCTGTTCTAAGGAGGTCCCTGAGGTCGGGCCCTGCTGTGCCTCTTCCTCTTTACATCCCATGTTATCTTTCATCCTGTAACGGTGGAAGAGGTTTGGCTGCACAATCTGTTTATGTCAAACCTCAAGAGTAACATTGATCAGATTAATTAGTTTAATGGATGTTTTCTGAATCGTTCTCATTTTAGTTGATATCTGTTGGGTGCTATTTTCCCAATCTACACTTTGAACCCTGTTCTGTAGGGCTACACCATATGGGGAATTATATATATATTTATAGATATTGCAAAAGGATTTTCATTTCTCCCAGAAAAAGTATTTCAGTCATGATGGTGTGACATTTTCTGGGATCTAAACAAAGGCTAGAGCATCTCTACAACCCTACAGTACTTCAATATGAAGCTGTTTGTTAAACATCTAAGCTTCATCAAAAATTGCAGCTTCTGCACTATCAATATTGCTTGTGATCTTGATAACAAGTTTGACTAATGACTTCTGCAGAAGGCAGCTTAACTTGTTTAAACTCTAAGGAGAGTTCTTCATGTGTTTCTGTCTTTCCTGGAAGAACTACTGAAATGTCAGCGAATAACCTTCCTCAGTCTACTGATGTGAGGTGTCGACTGATTTCGGTCCATGTTTTACTCTCACAAGGTTATTGGATTTTCAGGGTGCATGTGTAGAGGTGTTCACATTGGATCACTTAGGGGTTTTATATTTAAGGACTGGTGAAATCTTTGCTCAAATGATCATTCACTTTATTAAGGTTGTATGTGCTTGCCTGCCATCAATTCTTCTCAGTGACTATTCTGGAGTCTGTTAGGGCCCAAGGCTTGAATTCACATGGGGCGCTTCCAACCCTAAGTTCATCACCATTATGTTATGAATGCAATGTCCTATGAGTGAGTGCTGTCAGATGAGACAGCACTTTGCAAATCTTTAGCCATGGCTGTGGTTTAAAGTTAAAGTCGTCCCCTCCAATCGGTTGCTTGGTCCTGAACTAACTTATTCCCTTATTTACTCATCCCATCTGAACCGCTGCAGTTTGGCTTGTTTCCACTAATAAAGGCACTGCTGGGGTCTGCAGCTCTAATTATTCATCCTGTCCCCAACTGTCCCCACTTAAGCTTTAGATACAGATCAGCAGATGGTTCATTATTCTATCCCAGCCATCAGAGCAGCTGAATGTTAAACCTAATATGGAAATGTCTTAGAGAGTTGGCTGACATCCATTGAATATTAGGACATAAGTACATCTTGGGTTTGATGAATTGACACTCTTGTCTTGACATTATGGTGGTTGCAACCTGCTTGGGCACATAAAAATGCACTGAATGTGCTTCACTGGAAAAGCTGTATCTAAAAATGCAGATTTAACTGTGACATACTGTACCTTTAAAATAGACAATAACTGTTTTTATACTTTTCCCTCTCTTTTCCAGCTTCCTCTTGGTCTTCTCCTGTCTCATACTTTCAGTCTTTGCCACCATCAAAGAGTTCAAAAATAGCTCAGAGAGTGCCTTGTACATCCTGGTACGTATCATTTTATTCGCTGTTAACCTGTTCTCTATATGCATTCACCTCTTAGGATGAACTCCGCTCTTCTGGCTTGTTGTTTCACAGGAAATTGTGACCATCGTGGTGTTTGGAGTGGAGTACATTGTGAGGATATGGGCCGCCGGCTGCTGCTGTCGTTACAGAGGATGGAGAGGGAGGCTAAAATTTGCCAGAAAGCCTTTCTGTGTCATAGGTGAGAAAAATGGGGATGGCAGTGTTTTGTTGGCGGTCATTTCTCTAACCTTGCTCTCTCCCAGACACAAAAAAAAGATGTCTTTCTTTTTCTTCCATTTCTAAAAGCAAGAGTTTGAATAAGGATATGAAAACTTTCTTTGTGGTTCTTTCATGTCATGTCAGAACCTCATTGAATATGTGTGACTTCTAATCAAGTTGTCCACTCGAGTAACTTACTGTAGGCAACTTTCACATAGCAAGAAGAATCACTCTCAGCTTACACAGTTAAGTGTTGGTAATCCAGTCTGATCGGATCATGGTTATACTATCTCTTGCTTTCCTGGCTGTTCAGCGTGTGTGGACTTCTATGATTGTGTTTTCTTCTCTCTGCAGACATCATGGTGCTCATTGCCTCAGTATCTGTTCTGGCTGCTGGATCTCAGGGCAATGTCTTTGCCACCTCGGCCATCAGGAGTCTGAGGTTCCTGCAGATCCTTCGCATGCTGCGTATGGACCGGCGTGGAGGCACCTGGAAGCTGCTCGGATCTGTAGTTTATGCCCACAGCAAGGTGACCTTTTGTTGTAGAACTTCACTCAGAGTTACTTTTTTGTAGAAATCCTCCCCTTCTTATAAGTTGATGTGTATAATAGTAAATAAGTGTTTTAAATCGTACCTGAAATGCACTGCAGTCAAATTAACAGGACTTTAACTCCCAAGCCAATGAAACAATGTTTTTCATTTATGAAGTGAAATGGAATTTGTTCTTATTTTTGCAAGAACTACCGTTTGCTTTTACTTTTTAAATGTGGCTTTGAACATGTTATCTTTTTTATAACCAGCTGAAAGGCAGTGTGTTGACCTACCTGTTAAGAAGTCAATATCATGTCTGTTGTCAAAGCTATCAAGCAGCTCCTGGGGCTTACAGCACAATTTATAAACCTAAAATATGGTCAAGCTCATTGTAAAAAACGAGCCGGTGATCCCATTACAACCACAACTGGTTTGAGTCCCATAGCTTCTTTAAACCTGGCTTTAAGGTTCTTCACTTTATCTTGACACCGCAAACAAAAACCTAACTGTCCCTCCCCTGACTACCTCCATTGCAGCAGTCAGTTTGTTTTCATTGAGTGTAAGTGACTCCTGAGTGACGTCCTGCCAGCGCAGAACTGTGACGGTTCTGACTGATCCTCCTGACCTCCCTGTAAGAACTCAGGTCACAGTGCAAAATATCTGATCTGTATCTTATTTAGGACCACATGACAGTGGCCCGAAGTCAAATCTGAGTCACATATGAGTGCAATGAAAATCTGATTTGTGTCACCTTTACCTGCCGTGTGAACCTAGCCTCAGTTTTAAGTTTTGTCAAGTCTCAGGTTCCCAAAATGTTCAGAGAGAAATTGACCCAAGAAGTTTAAAGAAACGACTTCAAGTAATAAAAAAAAAAGACTCATGTTCATATTGGTTTAAAGCAATAACAGTTTCAGCTGTTTGTTTGTGCTACTTTCCAGCCAAGTAATTCAGTCATGCTGAGGAAAAAACATTTTTCTCTCTGTGATTTTAATGAGCTTTCAAATAGAATTATTTGCATGCACTAATACTCTAAGGGAAATGTGCTACTGTGTTTCAGTGTGTGATGTTGTGAGCTGGAGCCCGGGAGGGTGTGTGTAGCAGGCGTGGAGTCGAGGGAAATAAAGATGTTTATGAAATACTTGGTTTGCCGCAGAGGCCATCCGTCTCACACAATCGTGTCCAATATTATTACAGAGCGGCCGTTTTTACAAACTCACAGGGGTTATATCACCAATGTCTGCAGCCTCCTGGATGACACTTTATTACTTTGCATTCCCCGGTGCTGATTGTATTGGTTTTCTCTGCAGGAGCTCATCACGGCGTGGTACATTGGCTTCCTGTGTCTCATCCTGGCTTCATTTCTGGTCTACTCTGTGGAAAAGGAGTCGAACGACGAGTTTGAGACCTACGCTGATGCTCTGTGGTGGGGACTGGTGAGACACGCACGCAGTTAAAAATCCAGTTCCTCTTAATTCCAGGTTAAAATATCTTGAAACTGTAACACACAACTCAAATCAAGTAGTGACTTTGATCCATCTTTCCAATAGATCACTCTCACCACCATTGGTTATGGCGATAAGGTCCCGAAGACCTGGAATGGGCGCTTGCTGGCGGCGACATTCAGCATGATCGGAGTCGCCTTCTTTGCACTTCCTGCTGTAAGTATGAACGAACATCGGTTGGACTTTAAAGCAAGTGTTGTAATCTCAAGACAACGCTTAAACTGCTGAATACCAGCTGTCTTGTTTCTCTTAATTCTGTCTCCATCCATCATGGTGTTGAATCATTATTGATCTGGGGTTGTTGCTTGGCAACGCTGTGGATCTACTAACATTATTAAGCTTAGCTGGACCCTGAACACCGAAAGAGAATGTAGCCTATGCATTGTTAATTCAAAGGTGACATATTCTCCTCCTCTTTAATCAGTTTCATTAAGTCTCAGAGGTCCTCAAAACATGTCTGTGACGGTTCTTGCTCTAAATCCACTCTGATCCTGTATTTGATCATGTCTATAAACCCCTCTATTTCAGCCCTGCTCAGAACAGGCTGTTTCTCTGTCTGTATCTTTAAATATGTAAGTGATCTGTGTCTGAACATGCCCCTCTCTGGAAGGGGATGTGGCTAAGGCACCATTCCCAATTATATACGGTGAGAAGGCAGACTCAGAGGGCAGAACAAACACCTAGCTGTTGGAGTGTCACCCACCTGGGGGAGGGGTTACTGCCCTTTGTGATGTCATGAAGGGAACAGCTCCAAACAGCCTGTATGAGCACACATTTTCTGAAAAGTGGAGCAGGCAACAGATGGAGAGGATGGTAGATGGAAGAGTATTTAGCAAAATATGTGGCTAAACCTGTGATGTGTTTTTTGTGATGTGAATGTTTCACTAAAAAGTAAAGTTCTAAATACTTGTTTGTATGGGAAAATTTGCAGTATTTATACTATTAGAGACATTGCACTTCTTATAAGTTCCCAGTTTTTATGAAGCTATAGTAACTCTGAAAAAGAAAGCACTCTAAGCAAGTGAGTCTGTGAGTCTGTCAAACAAAATAAATAAGCTAAAAGCTTCCTCTAAATCCACAAAACGCGGCTTTACATTCAGAAAGCTCTCATCTCATGATGTTGTACTTCCAGTCACTGATGCATTTGTTCCAGCCACTGATGTGTTTGTGAGATGCTGTTAAATGTTTGGTGTCATCTAAGATTTCAAGATTTCATACAAAGCAGTAAGCTCTGAGTAAGCAGCTAACACCTGCTCAGTTTATCACACACATTGGATGCTGTATGAGTTGACTTCTGATTTATGAAGATGAAATCAGCATTTTCTGTCACTTTTACCTCAGAACATTTGAGATGTACAGATCTATGCTATTATGTCTTTACTAGATTTTTATAATGGATTTATTTATGTGTCTCTGTTTTTGATGAGGCTTTCTGTTGTTCTTGCAGTTTCAACTCTAAACCTGTAGGGGTCACTGAACCTCCCTGATCACTAAATGAGCTCTGTGTGTCTCTCTTCATCTGCTTATCTGTTCAGGGCATCCTGGGTTCTGGCTTTGCCCTCAAAGTTCAGGAGCAACACCGACAGAAACATTTTGAGAAGAGACGTAACCCTGCAGCAGGCCTCATACAGGTATATACAATCTGTCAACAGTAGATAACAACATGGTATGTATTCTGTTATATAATAGGGCTTTCACACTTCCAGAAAACTCCTCAAATACTCCTGATATTACCAGGAGGAGCTGTACATGTATGTGTGAACGCAAACAGACACATTTTTCTCTCTGACTTCAACCTGAGATTCTTTTGACAGAGCCCCTAGTATTTTTTCTGCAGTAATTCTGAGTGGGCTGATGTAAGAACACAGCAGGATATAATCAGGAGAATTCACCTTGAGCCAATGGGAGGGGGGTTGATGTTTATATACTGTGACTGGAGTCAATGCATACATGGACATAATTAAATGGCTGCATTAGGTTTTCTGTTCGTCAGTATGTTGTTCTCTGCTCTTTTGTTGATATTGTCATTCGGTTGAACTACATGTAGCATTGATATAAAGGCAGATATTCTCAGTTATAGCATAGTATAGTGGACTCTGTTACTTCGTCCACTGTTTCCGCATTGTTCTTACCCCCCTCCCATCTGACAGGGATAGTCTCCCGCTGTGAGGTGCATGTGTGAACAGCCAGGTCGGGATAATTTCCGGAGCAGTCCTCCGGAAAACAGCTTAACTGAGATCATCTCTGTTTTTGTAATTTCATTTTGACAATATTGTTATTTTTCCATCCAGGGTGCTTGGAGGTTTTATGCCACCAACCTGTCCCGTACAGACCTGCTGTGCACTTGGGATTTTTACGAGCAGACTGTCGCTGTTCCCATGTACAGGTAAGTGATTACAACTTATTCCACTGTTTCAATGAACACTAGTTTCTACAGTGTTCTGAGAGGCTTCTATTGATCCATTTTCTAAGGCCTCATTTGTATTCTCTCCTGTGTTCATGACTTAAAAACAGGCAAGGAAACGTTTTTGACAGCTTCATCTTTATTATCTCTTTCATCTTTGACACGATTTGATAAAAAAAAATACATTTTTGGATCATTTCTTTAAAGATACAATATGTATAATTTTACACTGAAGTATCTAAATTAATTAAACATGGACTAAACCTATGTTATATTTTTTTTTTGTTGAGTACTTACATTGTCTCAAATATTTCCAAAAGTTATCAAAGCCAGAGAAATCTGTAATTTTTAAGTTATAATCAGTCTATTTGTAGTGGCGTCGGCCATGACGGACAAAACATGTTTATCGTTGCCGTGGATACACAGGATGTTACCATGGAAACATATGAGAAAGTTTGATAGTTTAGGTAAGACTTATAAAATGGATCAGCACATTGTCATTTAATCACTTCTCTTTCTTAGCCTCCATAGTCGTCCCATATCAAGTTCTGCAATCTGTCTTTAAAATTGTCAAGCTAAGTAGAAAAGTGAGCTGTCTGCGTGTCCTCATCTTCTTGTTGAATAAGATACTACAGCCTGCTGTGAACAGTGACACTCTGTTAGTTTACAGTGAATGACTATGGTGTTGGCAGCGACACCACAACCTCTTTGAAATGCTCTTCAAAATACAAACTACGCCAGCAACTACTTGTCAAATGAACCACCTACATGACAGTTCAGCTGAATGAATCAGCAAAAAAAAAAAAAAAAAAAGCTGCTGACTTTCACAACAAAGATTTCTATGATGTGCCTGGAAGAAGAAGAAGAAGATCACTCTGTGTCTGTTTGGAAATGGCAACAAAGAACGTTCTGTCTTTCCAGATTAATTTGAGGTGAAAAGGTAATGACCTGCAGAATAGATAACTTCCAAATTAAATGGAATCAGCTTTGAAAATGCCCAGCAGCAAGATGTAACCTTTCAGCACTGAGTGGGTGAAAGTGACTCGACAGAATGACATGATGCTCTCTTTCTTTTCCCAGACTCATCCCGCCTCTGAATCAGCTGGACCTGCTGAGGAATCTGAAGGGAAAGTCATTCAGGTATCAAATCTCAAACACCATCAGCTACATACAAATGACTGTTTATAGACATTAGTCAGAATGAATAAGCTGATGATGATCACCTCATGATGACAAGAATGTTAATGTAACTGGAAGCTTTTTGCCTTTTGTAGCGAAAATGACATCACGATTCTCTTTATTGTTGTTGACCACCACTTATTTTATAAGACGTAGACAGATAAAGAAGGGGATGTTTACAAAGTGCTTTGACATGCAAGCAAAATAAGAACAAAACATGAGAACCAAACACACAAGAAAATCTCTGTAATCATTTATTCACCATTTATTTTTGGGCTGTTTTGCCTTTATTGGATAGGACAGTAGATAGAGAATGAAATCAGGAGAGAGAGTGGAGAATGGCATGCAGAAAAGGAGCCACAGGTTGGACTTCCACCCTGGCCGACCGCTTGAAAGGACTATGGCCTCCATGGGGCTCAACCTTACCGATAGACATGCTCTCTAATGCGAGTAAATCTGAATTTGAAACAAACTTATCCCTAAAAACACAGAGGGATGCTGAACATGATATACGTACAGTACAGTGGGATGCATGACTGACTTGTACTGTTGAACAGACGGTTTGTTCTGTCCTCACAGGAAGGAGTCTCAAACTGAAACCTCGCCCAGGTCTGTGATCTGAATGTTTCTTTTATCCATCGTCACCTCCCTTTGGCTTCTCTTCAATTCTGCTCTTAGCTGCTGCTGAGCCACTCTTCTTGAAGGAGTGTGTGCACACTTATATGTCTGTACGTGTGTTCGAGTGTGTGCGTTATCATGCGTATGTCCTGTATGTTACACATGGATGTGACTGTGTGTTGGGTGCCTCCTTCAAGAACGGTCTTGCTGCATTTGCTCACATGGTGCTCAAAGATCAGCTCACTTTGGCCTCACTCCTGACTCACAGCTTTATGAAATATTCACTCATAAGCTGTTCTTTGATCCTCTAGCTCTCAGCACCACCTTGTGAAGAAGTGACTCTGAACACTTTAAAGCCTTGCTTGAGTATTTATCACACTGTTTTTGACTTAAGAAACAAGTGAAATGAATGATATTGTAGTAACACTTTATCGTGACTAATCCCATTACATGCTAATTGCGTCTTTCGTTTAACTTTGTCAAGAAATGACCGACTTAAAAATGAAAACCATATTTTTTTTAAAGACATTAAGGTTGCAAATAACTATGACCATGGTAATGGTTACCATAAAGTGTTACTGGCACACAGTATGGCACACACTGCTGTTTCTGTGACTGTACCCACTGCTTTTTTTATCTTTTTGTGTCTCCTCTCCTGCCCACCACTCCAGTAATGAAAATGCACACAAAGACAGACTTTGCGGGTGCTGTCCGAGAACTATTAGGTATAGTTGCTGCACAGAAACTAACAACATGCACTGCAAGTCTGTGTGTCTCCTTACTCTCCTGTCTCTGCTCCCTCTTTAAACACAAGTACAGATAGCAAAATCCCAGAAAAGGGCAACAGACAACATTTCACAAAGTCTATCCAAGCAGCACTGTCAATAATGTCTACAAGACATGTTTGTTTACTGAACCCAACAGCTTATCTGCCCATAGCTTTCACCTGTTCCTCTGATGAAATGCAAATATATCTGTTTTTTTGCGCCCTGTCAGAGTTGATTTATGGTTTCTGTGTCGTTATGTCTTTATGCTGTTAATTTGCTTGCTGCCTTTTTTGCCTCTTCAGCCCTTATAAACTTCTGTTCAGCAGGCCAGGGTGTATACTGCTGACTACCTAACAATGCATTTCCTTTGACCGATTCTCGTGTAATCAGGCGGAGCAAACAGTATGATGGTGAATTATTTTGCATGATTTGTGTTCACTTTTTGCATAGAGCGAGACCACGGCTCCTCCTTTTGAGACTTGCAGTGTCACTTTGCTTCCCGTGCATGCTTGCTTGTAGCTTCCTGCTGCTTGCCTGACCCACTGAATGCTCCACTATGTTGGTATGTGGACATGGCTCCTTCTGCTGTAGGACATTGCCCATTTTGCGTTGCTGCTGAGGTAAGATTTAATATCATATTAGTGCTAAATAAAAAAATAAAAAATCACTTAAAACAACAAAGCAGTAGGAAAAGACATGAAGTTACAGATGATACATTTTGATCAGTTTGATGATGCTGTAACAAACCTGTTTTTACTTGGTTACATTTCCCTTCTCGTTACCTGCTGTCTGTAGTCGGAAGGCCAGTCTGAAGGACAAGGTGTTTCCCAGTCCCTCCAAGGCTCCCGTGGTCAAAGGGAAGGCCCAGTCTCCAGGGGCGGAGGACGGGGCTGAGGGAAGTCCCAACAAGGTCGCCAAGAGCTGGAGCTTCACAGAGAAGAACAGAACGCCAAAACACGCTTTCAAAGTCAGAGGCGGCCCCTCACGGCAAAACTCAGAGGGTGAGGGGACTCCACACAGGACAGAATGACACAAGACCACATCAATTATTCATTCTATTGACTTTTCAAGAACAGCACCAATTGCTTCTACTTTTGTTTCAGGGCCAGCTACTAGCTTATTATTCATTGCATTATAAATGGTCTGTGTTTGTTTCTATACTCACTAAACAATGTAAGGTGCAAATGGTCTGAGACAGCATGTAAACAATCATGAAACATGTAGGCCTAATTAAGATGAAAGACGTCTGTTTACTTTATTACCGAGAGTTAAATAAGAAGATCAAATCCTCTCAAGGCTTTATGGTTAATATGAAGCTATGATCCAGACAATTAGCTTAAAATCCACCTATTAGCAGCTTAACACTCACTCGTGAGTTAGCTAACTCACTAGTGACTAGCTAGTTAACGTATTGGTAACTAGTGGCTTTAACTTGTTACATCCTAAATCATCATAAATCATAATCATAAATACCCCAAATTGTAAACAGACTAAGCGATGATATGGCTTTTGTTAGCTTTGGCAGAGTGTTGCTTTGATTTGCTAAATCAAAGCATTTACAGTGTTTGCTAACTGCAGCATGTCTAACAGTAACTGCCTGTATGCTCACAAAAGGTATTTTAAATTTTGATAGTCACATAAATGACAAAGGCTTTTCACCCATGACACCATGGATGCTGAAAATACAAGAAATGTTTTTTTTTAACCGTGATTCTGCAAGCAGATATATGTTGTTGATATATGTTTCCTTTGCTAATGCTGTTTTAATATCTAATCTGTTTGCATGAATGTCACAAATAACTGTTTGTTAGTAGAGCTATATGTTGTAACTTATCTTGAAACAAAGTCAGAGATTTTCACGACACACTGAAGACAAAAAAAGTCTTCACTGTGACAACCATTGGTTTGTATGATAGTGTTCAGCCCAGCTGCATCCATATGTCATCCAGGCCACTGTATCACTATCAACAACTATACTTCTTCTCTTTCTCCATTTCTTTGCATTTTCGTTCAACAGTTTGAACCAGTTCTCATTAGTTGTTTTTCTTCTTCCGCCTCATGGCATGTTAAAGTGCTGATTGAAATGCAGGAGGAAGACTTTGGACTGAAGAGTTCTCCAGGTTAGACAAGTCATCATGACATGTCTTTAATTTAGATTTGAATATTGTACAGTGTTGTCTAGACTGTGTTTTACCATACGTGTTAAAGTTTTTACGATATGCAGCTTGTTAAGTGTAGGTGTAAGAGAGGAGATACCAGGCCTTTCAAACATGACAACATTATCCACAAGTTCCCATGTTTGGAAATGATTTGTCTGCCGCAGTCATCCTGCTAGGATCCATAACAAATCTTCTCCCATGTCTCTCCTTTCTCTCTCTTTGCAGCAATTGAAGGTTTAATAAGTAAGACATTGGGATATTTTGTTGGTTGGCTTTTGTGGGGGGAGGGAAATTTTCAAAAGACAAGTGACTGGTCTGAGATCCCTGCATGCTGAAATCTGCTGAGATTTGTTCACTTGACATGAACCCTTTTTTGATTTTTTTTCCTTCTATGAGTTCCCCCCTCTGATGATGGCGAAAGATTAAAGCATGACACTAGCTAAGCATGTAATGGTTTAAGTATTTATCAGGGTTGTAAAGAATGCCTTTAATCAGGGATAGTTAAAGTTAATAAGGGGTTCAAGTCAAGTGGTGCCAAGAGAATCCAAATCAACCCAGAGACAAAATGCACCAAAGACCTGCTTTAGGCTGCATGAAGAGACCTCACTTTCCCCACCAGATTCTGAGTAGCAGTGATACATGACCTCAATGCCTGTAGGCAATATGCTCGAATCCCATAGAAAAGTCTTCTGGCTATGCTTAAACTGTAACTTACAGTACTGATCTAGAGTGTCATTGGTGGTGGGAAGAGACCACTTATTCTAAACGGTTCAGGTAAAGCTGTGTCCCATCAACACTATCCTTCAATTCTGCACCAAGTCCTTGTTCCATATGTTTTTCCACAAAGCCCGCTCACTACGCTCACAAACTGGCTAACTGGCTTGAAACCAACTTGGTAATTGAATTTTTGCACCTTTTAAAGCTAAAAGCAAGAGCTCCGCATTGCTTCTGTTGCAGACCCTGTTCGTCATGCGCAAAAATGAAATATTCTTTAAGAGTGTCCTTGTCTTTGTTCTGTAGAGGCCAGCCTCCCAGGAGAGGAAATTGGTGATGATAAGAACTGCCACTGCGACTTTCTCACTCAAGAATTACCACCAGGCTTGAAGGTTACAATAAGGGCGATCTGGTAAGGCTTTGATTCAATACCTGTATTTTATAGCTCTGCAATACTTCACCTATGGAGACAAAAAAGGGCATGAACTTCTTATGCTAGCTATGTTTCACTGCTATCAATAATGCCTCATTGTCGACTTATTTGCTGAGATAGGAACATACAACAATGGCTAATACAAGTAAGCAACATTAGCAGTCATACAATCTGATAAAAAAAAGTGGGCCCACCATCATCAGGGGTCAAGGGACCCTGGGAAGGAGGAACCTGCAGCTTGTAATGGAGGTGAAATTAAATTAGCTAGATTTAGTTGGGTTCACAACCATGCACAGCAATTTAAGAATATTTAGGTGGACACTGGTGCTGAAGGAACCAAACCTTTCAGGCCTGGTTACCACAAGCAGGTAAGTATCAGGTTGCCTGGGGAGCGGTGGCTTCAGTATATGTAGAAGCGAAAACCCACGGCTATAGAAGGAATTGGAGGAGCTGTGATGAAGAACTTTGATTTGATCTCAATGAAGTTCTGACCCAAACTGGGGATGTGGTTAAGCAGTCAAAATAAGAAGAATACTTTCTTGATTGTTCCTATTTTTACCACTTTAATGGTGGCATTTAAAAAAGTATAGAGGCTTAGCAATGCATATGAACCCTCTCCTCCTAATATAGTAACTTTTTTTTGGTTGTTGGGGTTTTCAGAAAATGGCAAACACATAGCTTATAAATAGAACTCTATCAAACCTATGTCCACATTGTAAACACAGAACTGTCTCTGTGTCATGTTGCCTTTGTTTCACATGTAAAAATACCTTCTCCTTTCCTCAGCATCATGAGGTTTCTGGTGTCAAAGAGGAGATTCAAAGAGAGCCTGCGGCCTTACGACGTCATGGATGTGATAGAGCAATACTCTGCAGGTCACCTGGACATGCTGTCTCGCATTAAGAACCTGCAGTCCAGGCAAGTGCACGTTCACTGTACTGTATGTTTTTTTTTTAAATTTAAACCTGAGCCACACTCAGTGATAAACCTAACGTCTTAGAGCCTAAATATCAGTATTGATATGTTGTATACATTGAAGCATTTTAAGAGTGCGTTCTGTTCATCTGTACAGTTAGAATAAAAGTCATGATGTGATTTAGTTTGTGGATACACACATGTTGTGACACTCAAGTCATTGATTTGCCTGTTTCATTTGTCCAACTCCATGTGTTGTATTCAGCTCTTTAAATCTTTTACCTTTAAGATTTGACTAATTTCTTAATTCATGCGTTTTATATATACCATTGCTGTATAACTCACCTTGTCTTCAACAAGTCAGTTTAACTTTTCACAAATTAGCTCCCAACATTTGAATCCCCTCGAGGTCTGACATGCAGAATAAATATATTCCAACAGAGAAATAATGCACTTTTCATCCATGAAGCAAGTCAGACGCTCCGTATGTCTTGTGTGTGTGTGTGTGTGTTTGTGGAATATATTGAAACTTGTTCTCCATAGCTGATGTTCTTCCCTCGTTGCTTCATTTTGCATTGCACTCATATCGTCTCTGTGTGCCTTGCCAGGATAGATATGATTGTGGGGCCCCCTCCCCCATCAACACCTCGCCATAAGAAGTCCACTGAAGGTCCTAGGTTAGGTTAATAGACTGCACCTCTAGATGCTCTCTTTTACCAGCATTATGCTCCTTATGACACAGTAGATATATTATAGACGTTACATGCTACCTTTTTATTTGGATTGAAGGAACCCCTTTTGAGCTCAAGCCCCTTGACTTGCCTCATTAAACTGGATCAATCACACTGATATAATGTCATCATAACTCTCTCATGCATGGCGTCCCCTGTAGATATTTGGAAGACATTTTGAACCCTACATGTTGCAGTACCATGTCCCTACCACAAGGTGGAGGACCTGCAAAAAAAAAAAAAAAAAGTATCTCCTATCTCTTTTTGTTGTTGTTATTTAGAAAATCAGGAAATTATCAAATTAAAATAAGGCCCAAAAAAATATCAGATACTTTCATTTAGATGTCACTCATTTTAATTAACAATGCATGCTGTATTGCTAAATTAGCATTTTTTACGTCAGCTAAAAATGCATCCAATGGTGTATCAAAGAATATATTCTGCATTTTTGGCTTGCAGCCAGGTTATGCCATTCAATAGTCTCATGAAACAGTGCTCTGAAGTGGTCTTCAGATTTTCAGATTTCATTGTACAGTTGATAACTTATCGATTACCAGTGTCGACTTTGGTGGACAAAAGCACCTTTATTAGAAAATATGTTGGAGAAAATATTTGCACCATACTTGTTTGTTTCCACATGAAAACCTATGTTGTGATATCATAATAAACATGAGTGAAAGGGTTAATGATTTTGAGTTCAAGAAACACAATGTGCAACATTTTGAGGCTGTTGTTCAGTAACTTCAGTGCTTTTATCGCTTTTTTAACACAAGACAAGAAGAAATAAAAGTGAGAAATCGTTCATGCCGTTATAATGAGCCTTCATCGGGTCTGACTCAACAGGGGTTAAACAGTCATATTTGCTTGCTCTCATACTGGAGAGACAGAGGGAGAGTTCCCCCCGTAGGATGCAATGGAAATGAAGCATGAAGCACAACTAAAGCATGCAAGTGTTGCATTGTTGCCCGAGAAGAGATGTGCCCTCTGTTGTTTGATTAAAGCTGCCTGACTTCATAAAGCATGCGTTCACATCTTTCACCTGGAATCAATACTTCCTGTAGAAATGCTCGAGTGTTACACCGTCATTCATTCATTCATTCAAAACGGACTGTTGTGTCATCAACATAAGTGTCATCTTCACCACATTTCCAGTAATTCACTTAATGGCATCATGAGCTTTTCTAAATTTCATCAAAATCCTAGAGTGTGTTTTAATTCCAGATATTAATTTCCTCAAATACTAGAGTTGACCAGATAGTTGGTAAAGGTCCTAAACCTGAAGGAGATGCGGCGGAGGACCCGAGCATGATGGGACGTCTGGTCAAAGTCGAAAAGCAGGTAAGGATGTTCGTTAAAGGTCGATAGAAGTTCTATAAATCGCATGACTGTTATTTTATATTTCTGCTGAGGGAATATCTTTAAATCCTTCACAAACGTCCAGTTTGACTGGATTCTGAATAGTTTACTTACCAGTGGTGAAAGACAAAGATCACTTGAATCTTTAACAAGTTATTCTGCTTTAACACAGTTTACTCAAATATCTAATTGGATACAAAGTGGGGGATTTTCTTTAAAGCTTGAATATCAACTTTAAAGTAACATCACAATTTCTTTCTTTCTTATTCCTGTCCAGATCTTGTGTACTCTATCCCAGGAACACCAGATGAGAATACACATTTTATCAATGTTTGATTTTCATCCTTGAGTCTACTTGAACTCTAGGATCATTTGATTAAAACTTGGTGGTCAAAGATTAATGTCCTGTACTGTACGTCCCATTCTTGTGAATGTGATATCTCATTAATTCCTGAGATTTTATTACATCAGGTTAACTTTTATTCTTTCTGTCTGGGAGAACCAATTGGAAAAGGTCTATTAATAACCACACGCTCTGCAGAGTTGCAGAGAAAGACACAGATTGTATTCTCCATTCTAGCTCAAAGTTAACGCTGTGATTCTTTTGGAGACAAATATGTTGGAAGTGAAGTGCTCCTTGCACAGACGGTAATTCTAGCTTCCTCCCTGCAGGTGATCTGTATGGACAGGAAACTCGACTTTCTGGTCAACGTGTATGTGCAGCGTATGGGCATCCCTCGCTCAGAAACAGAGGCCTTTTTCAACTCCAAAGAGCCGTATCCAGCTCCGCCTTACCACAGCCCCGAGGAGAGCAAGCTAGAAAAGGAGGATAAAGAGGAGGTGAAGCAAGAAAAGGAGGTGAAGACATGCTCACCTGCAGATGTCCCATGCTCTGATGGGTCGTTGGAAAAGAGAGATCCTTTGCTGGGTCGGTCTGTGGTGATTTCAGTGGGTACTCCTTCTGGCAGCCACAGCCGGCCCTCTACCTCCTGGCAGCACCAGCTGCAGCACCCCCTCAGCCAGCCTGCCTGGAACAGCAGCGTGGCCAACACCCCATCACCAGTCGGTGGCAACGGCGATCATTCGCCCACCCTGTTCCGCCTACCCCCTCCGCCTGCTCCGGTACACGACCGATCCTCCTCCGGTCAGGGCAGTGGCAGAGAGAGCTCCCAGAGCAGGAGGCGCCACAGAAGGCAGAGGTGTCAGCAGGATGCCACCGCTGTGGAGAGCGACACGTCTCTGTCCATCCCGTCTGTCGACCACGAGGAGCTAGAGCGCTCCTTCAGCGGCTTCAGCATCTCGCAGGCCAAGGAGGACTTCTTTGGGCCCTCGTTCTTTGCGGGGTCAGGAGGTGGAGCCGCAGCGGGGACTGAGGCGGCAGCCGGACCTGCACTCTGTGCCAGGGTCAGACCCTTCATAGCGGAGGGGGAATCAGACACAGACTCTGACCTGTACGCTCCCTCCCCTCTGTCCTTTACCGGGGAGGTGTCAGGTGGAGAGAGGGCGTGGCCGGGGCTGAAGTAGGTCAGGGAGGACTGCTCTGCCTTGGTGAGAGGCTCACGCTGAAAGAGACCAACGCTTCAGGTCAGGAGAGAAGACCTCGTAGCCAACTGACTGTTTTTGCGGACGACGCTATACCAGACCATTTAAGGAGAAATGAATGGTCATGAATAGCTGTTTATAACTGAAGATGGTACAAATATGTCCTCAAAAAACAAAGGGGGTTGTCCTTTGTCACCTTTTATTGTTTGTGATGTGACACTTTACAGGAGATGCTTTATATTGATTTGCACTGTATCCATCAATGTCTTGATTTCATAGAAAATGGCTTTTTAGGAACATTTCTTTATTACTAAGTAAACAGTTTTGTTGCATTAAGTCGTGAAGAAAGGAACACAAGAGTGTGAGAAAATTATTTATGACACTTTCAATTAGCATTTGACTTATACTTTGTGTATGGGAAAATCACCCGAGTGCATTTCAACACTTCTTCTGTTACACACTGACCACTTAAAATACAATAAAAAAAGAGAGTTAGCCATGCAGAACTGTTAAAGTCCTCTCACGTGGTTAGCATAGTGTCTTGTTAACTTCTTACCTTTGAATGACTTGAGGTGTTATGATGCCAAAACCGTAGCTTTGATAATCAATTAGATTCTTGCAGAATAATAAAAAAGTCACGCTTGCCTTCCAGGAATAATAAAAAATCAGCATTTTGTTTCACTGGATACGACAGAAAAACTCCCCTCAAAATTAACAAAGCAGTGAACCTGCTGCATGGCATGTTAAACTGTTGATTTTAAGGACTTTGTGATTCAGGCTACAAAACCAGACAAAAATCCCACAAGTGTTTTCTTTCTCTACAGACAGACAGGGCGTTGAATAAAATATGAAAAAGATGCGTGCATGAATGTTTTCAAGCTACAATACGTTCATTTCTTTATACGGCTTTGCTTGAAATCTGATTATGTATATGCAGACAGAGCCCACTCATTTCAGTGGCTTTACTTTCTGTCCATAAATTATGTTTACTTTATTACAGACTCAAATGATTACTATGGAAACAATATGGGCTGCGATGGAGACGAGCTCATTTTTTTTAAGATCACAAAAACAGGAAATGTTCACGTTGTATTGAGCAAATCGTGCAACACTTGATAATCGGGAACAAAAGGTATTCGGCCTGCGATGCATAGTTCAGTCATTTAGAAATATCTGCTGCTTTGTCAGTCCTGCACTAAATGAGGAAATGCAATAAAAGCAAGCAAGGCAATCAAGAACCATTCTTTAGAAACATGATGATGGCCTTTTTCACACCCGACTCCATTGTTTTTTAAGTAATCAAATCAGTCATTAGATATATCTCAAAAGAGAAGTGCAAGTACATTTCCAAGTCTTATATAGGAGATTCTGTGGCCGCGGAGCAGTCGTTAGGGGTTACATGTTCAGGCCACTGATAATACTAAAAGCATGGGATCTATAGGGGCATTTGAAGCATGAACAGTTCTTGTTAAAAACTAACCCTGAGTCATAGCGAAACAACCACAACATTTGAACTTTATCGCCCCACAGTAAACATCAATCAGTAGACCGTTCACACCAGATCCATAACTCATATTTTCCATGAGAGAAGAACAAAACCCTGCTGGCATGTTTTCTACGAGCCAAATGAAACGGACGTGTTGGGTTTTACATGACACAGTAGCTCTTAGTTCAACACCATCATGTAACTGCACCTTCTTCTTCTTCAGTAATAAAACTTTGTACATCACTGAAAATCATCAACCAGGTGGTGTCTCATTTTTTTACAATGAACTTTAAGATGTTTTGTTTTTTAAATAAGACTGTGACAGGTTCATCAGATGAGTGGTGTAATAATGACCCCGAGGCACTAGATGGCAATACAGAGCTTCACATAGCTATCTATCTATCTAGCTATCTATATGTCTATCTGAGTCCCCCTTACAATTGGCAACTCTTTAAAAAGTGTTACTGGTGAAGCTTTCAAAAAACATTTTGAACCATGGCTGCAGGGAATTTCTTTGATTCGGCCACAAGAGCGTCAGAGAGAACAAGCTCACTGTGTCTTCAAGCTGAAGGGGTGCATCCGAGATGCAAAGTGTCTACACAGTCTGACAGTAGACATTTCGTTCTCTCCGTGCTGTATCCTGTTAGGACCTACTGTTCAGTAGGCTGATATGTGTTCCTACTTTGTCTGATTCATTCAGTGTGTGAGTGGCGTCATTAGCCCGCCTCAGGTTATTAACACTCCAACTCCAATAATAAACTTCTCAGTTAAACAATCTAACAGTTTAACATTTGAAAGGCACGTTACCTGAACCGGCCACATCCACCATCATGTCCTCGCTTGTTTTGATTTGGAGGCGCATGTGAAGTGACGTTTTACATTTACTTTCACAAAGCATTGTGGGTGTAGGATGCATCCAAACCATACTGCACAAAACCTGGAAGTTAGTATCCATCCTGACATGTTCAGTCTACTGAGGTGGACCCAAAAAAAAAGCCCACTGAATGACCATGAGGGTTCAGTCTACTGAAAAGTCGGCAAACCAACTGTGGCTCTTTGGAAAGGACTTTGGTGTTGGACGTGGTTGAGATCAGGGCTCTCTGCTGGATTGTGGAGATCTTCAGAACCAAATTTGAAATATAATTTCATCCTGGGCATCACTCAAAAAATGGCATCCCCTAAAAAGCTGCAGAAAAAAGCTCAAAGGCACCTCTTTTAAATTAAGCTGTATGTCAAGATTTTTGCCTTACGCAAACTATAATCCTTATATATATATATATATAATCTGAGCGAAGCGACAAACAAATGGTCTGCATGCCCATGCATATTTGGCTGTATAGCATTAATTAAGCTATTAACCATTTTTACATCAGCACAAAGCTGATTTATTCATTGCTGTATCCTGACACATTTTATTTAACAACCTACCACCTCAGCCTAATGTCAATGAAATAGTAAGGGAGCGTTTTCACAGCACATGCTCAACCTGAGGTCAGCCAATTTGTTAAGTGTTGTGTTGTGACGCCTGGATTTCAGTTGAAAGGGTGATACGAATAGAAATTGATTGGCTCATTAATAAAAGTCAGATGACGGCGTCACAGCACATAGAGCTTATTTACTCTCCACAGCACCTGGGGAATAGCAAACGTCTTGACCACCTAAAGCTCAGACCGTGAGACAAACAACCTGCAGAGAATTGAATCTATGCTGCGGTGAAAACGTACATGTAATTATGATCTAGCCAGATTGGAAAATGCAAGTTCAAGACCCACGGTTTTGCCTGGAATCACATTTTATGCTGGAAAATATTAACATGACACTCAAATGAATTAGCTCTATTAAGGGGTGTCCTCTGTGGCGCCATTTTTCAGGAGTTATTTGTAGGGTTTCTGCACGTGATGTGTATTCAAAGATGAGAAATTTGTGTTTAAACAGCATCATTAGACAGAGGTTGGACATTGACCCTTTGGGTGATGAATGATAAGACCCCAACAATCAATGAAGCCATTACCGATCTGACTGTTACGAGGGAGCTGTCGGAAGAGAGGCCCAAAAACAAATGGACTGTATGCATTTGGTAATGGTATGTGTGCTAACATGTTTCACCACTGAGTGCACTGACAGGAATGCAATAAAAAAGCAGCTCACCCAGCGGCCTCATCGTGCACATTTGCATTTTTCTTTTCATCTCTTTAGAAGAACAAATGTCTCTGACGCCTTCTGAGTTGTACTGAATGTACGAGTACCTTCATGCTGTTTCTTCAAATAAGACGAGATCAAATGTAAAGCTGTTGTTTGCTTTTAAATGACTTTTCTGAGAGCATGAAATGACTCTGTGTCCTTGGCAGCAGCTGTGTTTGTGTATAGGGCTGCCTTTGTCGTCTGCATGTAAACATTTTATTTATATATATTGTTAGTTAACATTGGCAAAATGCTATCGATGGACACCAAGGGCAAACACAGTTGACCTTCCGTTCTCTGTCTGTAACACACATAAACACACAGAGACAGGTCCATAATCATGACAGAGATGGGGATAAATGGTTGTGTGAATAACATTGGGGAACATATATCATAATTTAGATTAATTACACGTGTCTGTCAGACGTGGTTAAAACTTAAACCTTTTAAATGTCAAGCTCTGTGTGCTTGGAACATATCAGGACAGAAACATGTGAAACTTCTGGACTTTCTCAGGCAAGGAGAGCTAATTGCACCAGAATAAGAGTGGATGCTCCATCTTTGAGGATGTAGATAAAGGAATGTTTGGAGAGACTGACTTACATCGCCCAGAACTCAGTTTTCCCCCGTTTACACATTAACACTTTAAATGGAGTTTCTGAAAATCATCACACTGGAAGGAATTTTCCAAAAAGTGTGTTTGCAGTGACCTAAACACAATTTGCGTGTAAGAAAAGAAAAAACAACTTTTTCAAATATACCCTCCCACATGTGGACTACAGCTTGCTTCCTCCCCTTTTATCTCCCTTCACTTTGATTGCTGTCACCAGTTTCACATGTGTCCAATCACCCCAAGTTTATTCAGTGTCTTTATGTGTTCCCTTCCTTGACAGTTCATCATATATTCAATCTAAAGCTGCTTCTCAAGGTCCAAGTTGATTTTCTTTGTGGTTCTTGTGTTTTTTCCCTTGAAGAACTTTGATTTTTTTTCCCTTTGGATTTTGAGTTTTATCAATGGATTGGTGAATCTTTTATTTTGTGGATTTCCCCTTATGGTTTCTGAAATGATGTCGAGGCTTCAGCTTCCCCCTCTGATTCTGACTCTCACAACCAATACATAATGTTAGAGCTGCACTTACCTGATTGTCCCATGGTTGTGTGTGGCGCCAGTGATGTAATTCAGACTCTTTCTTTTGTCTCGTTTTTTTATTGTCATAAAGGTTTATTTTTTCTGGGAGTTTGCCTGGATGCCTGACAAGTCTGTCATTTTAGAGGTCAAAAAGCTCCATCAACACTTGTAATATGAAGGTTCGTGACACAAATGAAGGCTGAAGCCGCAACACGTCGGTCTAATTTGTTAACAAAGTTGATCTTCATAACTTCATAGTGTTGCTGGAGCTTTTTGACCTCTTCAAGCCTTTCACTCTTCATGCACCTTGGTAGTCGTTAAAGTTGTGCCAGAAAAATCCAGCTCTGCTTCCCCTGATCTTTGATATCGTATACCTGCTTTTTTACTACTAAAATTTCCAGATGCCTAAAGATAAAGATAAAGATTTTATCAAACTGCAATCCCAGCACTCTTTGAATTAATCCTAGAGGTGAGGTCCCTGAGCCAAACTAAAATGAAAGCAGTCCTGGTGGCCTCTCTTGACCCTATTGGCTAGACGTCTGATATTACTTTGTTCAGAATCATCTTCCCCCCCTCCCAAGAGGTTTGGATAAGAGATGTCCTTCATTTTAGTTAATTGAATTAAACACACACAGCCGGGGGATATGGCTACCTTCTTTTTCTTTCAGATAAAGCAACCCAAGTTTGGACCATGTTGAGATATTGCAGTTTCAGAGAGTACCTCGGTGAAGACGGCGACTGTTGGTTATTTTTCTTGTTTGTACTCATTTCCTTTGTAATCTTTGTAATCAACTATAATTCGGTATTACGATATATATGATACGTTATTATTTATTCTCCCTTTGGGCGGCTGTGGCTCATTTGGTAGAGTCAGTCATCTCTCAACGGGAAGATCGCAGACCAGCTCCTGCAGTTATGTGACACTTAACCCCAAGTTGCTCCTGCTGCTTCGTCAGCAGTGTGTGAATGTGTATGAACGTAATTAGTAAATATACTGATGGACACTTTACATGCAGCTTCTGCGATCAGTGTGTGAATTTGTAGGTATGAAATGTTGTGTGAAAGTGCTTTGAGTAGTCAGAAGACTAGAAAAGTCTATTTACAATCTTAGAATCTAGACTTAATGATGAAAGAAAAATAAAAAACATGTAAAAGCATGAAAGCTAAAACAAATCTTTAACGAGGAAAAGTGATGTGAAATGAGGATCGCTATATTCAAATTCTGGGTCAGCGTTATGAGAAAACCTGGACAAATCTATTTATTGGTTCCTCCTGTAGAAAGTCACCCCACTAATCCTATTGAGTGCACAAAGCTTATCATTTATCATCAGACAATTACTGAAATGGATTGATGTTGATTCCCTCCGGGCTCCTGCTGGAAGGAAGTCTACTCATCCATTCATCAGATGGACATGAGGATAGTGTAATTTTATTAATGTCTTTGACCTCACAGGAGGAATTAGCTTCATATACTAGATATTAGACAGTACAGTACTAAGTCTGTTTGTGTGTTTGCATGTGACAACATTTAGAAAAAGTAACCAATTAGATTACTGTATATGTAGTAATTTTTCTAATTAGTCTCATACAGTATAAACTGAGATTGCATGAGCTTGAAACAGGTAACATAACCAAAGCCATGCTGTGATTACATAAACAAAATGCACTGATGGATTATGTGCTGCAGATTTATCAAAATTACCCATGAAATAAAAACACTTCTGTGCAGAGCTGGGTATTTTCCACAACTTCACAATTTAATTCGAATTCCATTTTTTGAGTCATGATTCAATTCAATATTGATCAATGTGCTTACATATTGATTTAATAATACGCATAGATGACTCATCAACATACCTTCTGTTATTTGTTAAATAATTATGTGTGCATTGTTTGTTTTGGTTAGAACAAACTGACTCAAAAATGTATTTTATTGTTGCATC